TCTCCCATACTGTGGGCTATGGTCTAACTTTCAAAGCAGAATTCTTGTACTCTAAATATAGAATTTGTGAAATTGCTGCCTCAGTGAGCCATTTCTGGTTTGAACGTGACTTTGGGCTTTGTCTATAATAGGATCACTTATTGGGGTGGGTTCAGCTTTATGGATTGTCATGGGTTTGATGGTGTGTGTAAAAATCTAAGTATTTGGTAATGGAGCCTTKATAGCAGAAACCTCATCTGGAATGAGGGCTTGAAAACTCTGCTAGAAATAACAGGTCTCAGTGATCTCTCTACTTGAAAATACTTGGAAACCAGACAACAACCGCCAGGCCCTCCTGTTTGCCTCTTTAAGAGGATCAGAGAATGTTTCTTTATCTGGCACCAAAATGTATGTGAATACAAATTACTACTTAAAATAAGGAATTTGGGACTATACTTTTCTCAAAATGTCAATCATAAAAACATTCTTCCTATGTGGTCTTTAAAAAGTGTTATGAAGATAAATTAACTCCAGAGTCCAAATCAAAACTAAATTGCTAAAATCCTACAGCCCATTATGGCTAATAGTCCTTGCTTATCCCCCTGAAAACAATTCTGCWACTTTTCTTATATCTGGTAGATTAATTATCTTAGCCCAAAGGGGCCTAACATTGATATCAGACTTTTCTGAGCTGTTCTCTTTGGCCTCTCCATCATAGCCATAAAGTCTGTCTGGAGTGTTCAGAGTAAAACTGATGGGATGAACTTAAGATAGAGGAGAGAGTGAAGTGAAGCAGCTAAGTATGTCCTGAAGAGCATCTAATGGATGATGGTAGCAGGGATATAATAGCCAAGAGACCAAGGATCACAGAGCCCTTCCAGGACCTGTCCACAGGTTTGTAGTGCTGGGAACTTCATGTGGAGCCTTTCTCCCTGATGAATCTGGATTGCAATGTTGGCTGCAAAGGATACTTAGAGACACTTATGATGTTTTCAGTTCTAATAGACCCAGTGAAATTCATGCACAGCTTTGGAGTAGATTTTCTTCTGTACTACTTTGCCTGTGTATGTCTTGCAGCATTTTAAAATTGTTTTAAAATTGTTTTAAAATTGTTTGTGTGATTGGAATATTAGATTTAGATTAGATTCTGTTTTGGCAAGGAATCCACTAATCTCGTTTCTTGCATTTCCGATGGTCTTTGTCATGTTGACTGTTATCCAGTTCTTTTGACTTTTCAGTAGTGATTTCCTTKTGCATGTAGAACATTTCTGCAAGCCATCCTACGAGTGAGATGCGATGTTGATCTCTTGCCATCATTTCTTAACTTTTAGATGTGCAGGGCAAAGCCACCGATCCTTAGCTAAGTTAAGCATTTTCTTCCTCAGAAAAGTTATTAATTTTGTTTCATATAGATCAATGGAGTGCAAATTAAAATTACTACATCACTATGAACTGAAAAAGTGCTTTAAAATGAGCATTTTTTAAAAAATGTTTCTGCAAGCAGTTAAAATTCTACAGTATGATGTGTCTCATCAGACTCCTATTTCAAATATCAACCAAACCCATTTTCTGTTCCATATTGAGGTCTGCAAGAGAAAAAAGATCCAGCTTTCTATTTTATTGTTTTTTTTATTTTGCTCTGCCTTGCTACTCTTTATTTATTTATTTCTAYCAATGTGACAGCTTGCTTGAACATTTCCTAAAAGAGTTCTCTTTTATTGGTGTGCTTAATTAGATGCCTCTAGATAGCATGAATCACAAGAAGCTCAAGCAACTTCAGCAGCTGCTGGCATGGTGCTGCCAGAGGCAGCTCTGCCTTCAGAGCAGTTTCTCCAGTTGGGCAGAGTTGCCACAGTAATATCTACCCAGCGGTGAAGGACTCGCTTATGAAAATTAAAATAATGTTCAGAGTAACATCAAGACTGATCCATTAGCCTCAGCAACATCAACAAAGTCAAAATTATTTCTGCCACAAACATAAATGAGAATTAATTTAGCTTATTATCACCACTAGAAAGATTTCTGTTTTGGGATGCCTGTCAGAACATACTTCTTGGCATGTTGCATGTTTTGGATATCAGGCACTTAGCATGAGTATCTCATACTTGTCTCATGTGAACATGATGCAGAGATGCCTTTTGACCTTTAGTTCCTCTTCAGGTCTATCAGAATGGCTCTCAGAGCTCCAGTGAGCTCTGCTAAATCAATAGAAATTTGCTTTTTCCAGACTTCTGTAAGGGGTATGGAGCTTCTGATTGAAATATTTGTGATGTCTTCATTATCAGAATGCTGTCCGAGCACTGAGAGAGTCTGAGCACTGAAAKACAGAAATATTATTCCTATGCCCAGGTTAAGGTGCATCAGATATTATTAGGCTGTGCGTAATTCCCCCATTCTCAAATAATTAAGGTATATAATCTGTTGTTAGCATGCTAGGCACAAAAGTATATAATTATCCGATAACATTAGAAAGCATCATTTAAAAACTGATGACAATGCTGTGTTTTTACGCTTCTCTTCCTCTAGATTGTCAATATGTTTTTTTCTTTTAGGATAGAACCATGCTTTATTATGGCTTTTTTCAACATGCTACAAATATTGAGATGACCTCATTCTCTTTTTTAAACATTTCAGTTATTTGAAGAAAAAGGAAAGTTGGAGATATAGATAATATAAGTTGGAGATATAGAAAATAGGTAGGTATCAATTAAAATAATCAAGTAGGTAGGTATCAATTAAAATAATATTTTCATTTTGAAATACCTCTGAATACAGAATAGTTTTAAGTTTTCTCTTCAGAGCTTTTTAAATACTTTTAAGATATATGGTACAGGTGCAGGTTGCTCTCCTGCCCTGGAAAGCTAACTAGTGATTTTAGCCTGGTAATAACTATTAGATCACTTATTCTGTTTAATCAGCCTATTCACATAGGGAAAAAAATTAATCATGAACTGTGCAGAAGATGCTGGAGTCTTTAATGTGGCTGCCTGTATCCAGAGTTTGTTCTTTTAACTTTGCAGAATGAGAGAACACTTTCCCCCTGCCATATGCTCTGTCTGTCTGTTTAGCTTTCCTGGATTAGAATTAAATTTACTCAAATACTTGGATGAAATTATGCTTTAGTTTGGTCTCCATAACAGGATTTCTTCCTCCTCTAAGCAGTTASTCTTTGCTGTTCCCAGTATGCTGGCAGCTCTGACAGAAACTGGTAGCCCATGTTCTAGGATTCTGTCTTGAACCACAATGTTAAAATGTCCATTTAGAAAGTACCTATTGCCCCACCTCAGGCTGCCTTAAAGGGATCCTTTTTAAATAGAACTATTTTTCAGATGTTGTTGGTCTATTTGCTTTATAATTTGCAGGCTATCATTCCAATTTAAAAAAAGTAACAGTTGTATCTATGGAAACAGAGTGTGGAAATTGGCTTTTACGTCCAGGAAATGTTCAAGGAAAATGGTTCGGGGTCTTAAGAATCATAGCAATTGTCTTGGTAGCAAAACTTGGGGGAACTCTCTTTATTCTAAACTATTTGGAATGCTTCATACTTCATACTTAAGGAGATTTTAATTGGCTAAGAACAAATGGATGGCTTTTAACTTAATTCAGATACAATTAATTCAGCAAATTGTTTGTGCAAGTTGTCTTATTTTTTTGCTGCTTTTGTGAATTGCCATATCCTAATTAAGGAGACCTCCCAATTTAATAGTTAGATCATATTTACTGCTAATGAATTGTTCCTAATTGCTACATGAGTTTAATAAACAGGATTATGCTGCATTTGCCATTGTTTGTTATGATCTTTAAGAACCTCTGCCAGAAATCTTGGCTTCTGCCTGGCTTCTTGCTGTAAACTTGARGAAACATATCTGTATTCTTCATCTCTCTTTTACGTTTTATTTTCTGACTAAATACTTTTGCCAACAAATTGTAGTTTTCAAAATACTATTGACATTAAGGTCTCTAGTCTTAAAGATGTTTTCTCCAAAAGATTTCCTTAGCTTTTCAGCTCCCAGTAGTTACTGTTTGATCTGCTCAAAGCTTCTACAGAGCCATAACGAATGTACCGTTGTCACAGAAAATGCAGGAAATGTCTGTGTTCTTTTTAAGAAAAAKATAAATATGTGACTGAATTCACTCACCTCTTAAATTATTGAAGGACTTGGAGGGTTATGATCACCCTTAGCTATTGCACTTTGCTTCATGTTACAAATTTGTGTTGGACAACATGATGAAAAGTAGGACGAAAGTAGGAACGATCTGCTCCAGGAACAGATCTTTCTTCCTGGAAATGTGTTCAATCCAAGGGACTAGATTAGAGCGTGTTTAGAGTAAATCTCCTGGACATACATGTAACATAGACATCATGTCCTCAGCTCTACAGATCCACTCCTATTGCAATATATTGTTGTGATAATTGACTGAACTATCTCTTTGTTAAGAAATATAAGTTTTATGTAGCAGTAATAGTGAAGTGCTCCATAGCAGATGGCACAGCCCAGTTTTTCAATGAAAAGGCTTTTGTTTCCATTATGACTTTTACCATTACAGGAATGTTTCTAGGTCATCTTTGTGAGCTATAAGTCGTGGAGGGTTTGGAATGTTGAAAGTCTGCAAGGGTTCCTGGGTGTATTAGGGAGCTTTGAATTTCTTTTGCATTTAAAAAAAAAAAGGGTGTAATTGAGCCTCAAAATGCCTATGCTCTGTTATATATATACATATTCTTTAAAATGCAACCTTATCCATCTGTGCTGTAAATATAGTGAGTTTTTCAGTTTTCTACAAGTAGTTGAGAGAATGAGAATGTGAATATACAAACAACTTCAGTCTAGGACATGATGCTGTCCTTGTACTTGCTTTCTCTTGACATTAGTTCATCACTTAAGAGTTTATTTCCTTTTTCAGAATGCCTTCCTTGCATAGTACTTAAATGGTGCCTAAGTACTTACTCGTAGAATAAAATCTAATGTTTTTTGAAAGAGAGGTTGATTTTAGCTCTTTCTTGCAAATTTGTTTTTCAACAGGGGAGGGGATAATTACACCAAGGCCAAGTCATGTTTTTATGCAATGTCACAAAGGAAACAGCATGTGGATGATTGTCCTTCGTATCTTAGAGTTGGTAGGTTCAATAATTCGCTCCCTTTTCACTTGTCAGTGAACATTCAATTTATGGTCTCAGTAAACCTGAACAGTGTATTTGTAATGTGACTGTGACCAAGTAACATGGCCTTAAGATAGATACTCATATAGGTGATTACACTAATACATTTTATTGGAATTGCTCTGAARTGACCTAAGGTTCTGGTCTGGGCACTCATCAGACTTCAGTGATGCAGTTATAAAGAACAAGTACCTTTTGGTTTTAACCACTGSAATTTATTTATTTTAAAATCTACTTATTATGAGGAAAAATGAACAGTGCTCCAAGACACTGATTATTAAATAGTCTGCTCTTTGTATGAGCAAATGTTATCTCCATCTGCAGTTGTCTTTGAAGACTAAATAAGAAGGATTAGCATCTAAGAACACTTAGAATAAGATGCATTTGCTGTTGCAAAAGCCAAATTTATAGAACTTTTATATTGTAGTATTACTATTTGGAAAACATGGAGTCCTTTTGTACCCTGTTTATCAGGGCTGGTGTATTTCTATATAGAAAAACAATCAGGGAAGCAAATATGCCCATGGTGTGATTTTAACTTTTTGAGAAATATAAAGTATTTACGTATAGTAATACAAACATAAGTATATAGTCAGATACATAAAGTCAGGGGGTTTTAAAAAATCAATATTTCCAGGATCAAAGTTTTTTTTTTTTTTTAATACTGTAATACCTGAGGAGATTCCTACTTTGATGAAGGCAGTGTATTATAAAACTATGTACCATGCYAGTATTTCTGTGAAATCTTTGCAACCATCTTTGGATGATTAACGATCAAGGAAAAATATGTTCATAAAGTGACAAATAAGGAGACTGTCTAGTTTCACCGAAAACACAACTTCTACAGATTTAAAGGAGAAATGAAAAATTAAATCAGTTAACCTCCAAGAATTTCTATTTTTTAATTTTGTGGAGAATGCTTAGATGATTAATAATAATACCAGTAATACTGTAATAATATCATCACTATGCCCCTGAGTTGTAAGTGCTGCATAATTACTGAAATTCAACTGGGATAATCAATTCTTTTTCTCTTTCCTTTTTTTTTTCCCTCTCATTTCTATAGAGACCAGAACCCTCTCCTCTCCCTTCACAATGGATCTGATTGAAATGTGCCTTGTGGCAGAGCATAAATATACTTCATACCTTTAAAAAAGCTGGCAGAAATCCTGGCTGCCTCTCACCTACAGCTTCAGGGCAGTTTATCTCGTCACTGTGGAGGTCAGCAGGCCTGTGTGGGAGCTCCCTGCTTTTGGTACCCAACCCAGCCTGATCTCAGTTCCCTGATGCTCTTATCAACTGGTAAGCACAGCTGGCCTGCCGGAAYGGCAGCTCAGCAATTCACACTAAAAATGTGCAGTAGGACCATAGTTACAGTTTCCGTAGTGTGTTTTTCCGAGTGTGTCATTTTTGCAGATTTCCAAGAGGTTTAGTTTATCATTTATTTAAGAATGCAGATTTTTTCTTCAGATTTTTTTCTCCTGTTTATGGTTTTTGTTCAGCAAGTGGATTCTTGGCTTGGGACCAATGGACTCAATTTTCAATGAGTCTTAAATGTRCTCATAAAAAAAAGGGCCAAAATGAAAGGAATAAAAGGATAAAATATAAAGATTTTATTTCCTTAAAATGATTGGCAATTTTCTCAATTTATCATTTGTACTTGTTCCCAATATTGATCTTAACTTTTAGGAAAAAATGCGAAGCCTGATTAGAATCTATTTAAAGAGTGTAAATTCTTCACTAGGGAATACTTTTTAGATTGAAATTCCATGTCATTTCTTGGATGTTGAATATGTTTTTGGAGTGATTGATGGTGACAGGATTATGAGCAAGAAAAACTGMATTATTGTGATTGGAGTGATAAGTATTTGGTTTTGTCTCTTTGTTTCTTTGTGAATTTGAGCTCTCCACCATATCTATAAATAGCTTGTGTCATCCTTCAGGATGTCATGGACTAACTTTCATAAGCTCTATTTTTATTTGCACTGAATTGGGAATCTTGAATATCTTTTTTTTCCTTTTTTTAAATTTTGGTGCTTTCCATAAAGTATTTTTCTCTCTTCATCTCTTTATATGAAATCTTTTAAGCAAAATTAAAAAGAACCATCTGAAAAATCTAGTAACTTTTGTCAATTTTCCTTTTTTTTTGTGATTTCCAGCTAAACCGCTGTTTAATCCACAAGCTTCTTGCTATTAAAAACATGTGGAGAATAGGAGTAATCAGAATTTCTGGACTAAAATGGCTCAACAGAGAAAAACTCTACACTTCTTAATTAAAAAGTCCATATTTATTTAAAACTTAGACCAGTGCCAAGCGTAATTTTCTTTGCGCTGCCTAAGTGCCTTGGACTCACGGTATCCTGCTGTGTAGGACTGTATGGTAAGCGCCAGGCTTCGTAACCGTTGTATTTGCTAAAGTTTTCTACAGAAACTACTGGATACTCAGTGTTTTACATTCATAAAGTTACAGATTAAAATAATAAACTTTYTCTTACAATGAGTGATATGAAGAAGCCTTAGCAAAGGGTTAAAAAGTATATATACTTTACTAACTTCATGTCCTGAACTGTGTCTTGCAGAGGCAGAAACAAGCTCTAAATTACAGAGGGGGGTAAAGTTAACTATAACGGCCTTGTTTAACTTGCCYATTTATGGCCTATGAATAAGTCCCCTTGGCTCTGCCCCTGGATTTCATTATGTAACAAAACTCTGCTTAACAGGCTTCGATCTGCCAACACAACCATATTTGGCCAACTTCTACAAGGTGGGTGTTATTGTCCTTTAAAATCCATGAAGGCATAACTTTGAAAGCAAGTCAACTGTTTCATGTCTGACATGGTTGGGGTTGGTCATCTGAAAAAAAGAATGCGGAAGAAAACATTGTGATGTTTATCTGCCTTCAGCAAAGACGATGACCCAATTTAAATAATTGTGAGTGAGTAAATCAGGCTTGCTTTTGAAGTTTAGTTTAAGCTACCATCAATAACTTTCTAGCTTTCACAATCTCCTGAGCAAATCTAAAACACGTATGTTTTATTCTTCTTCTCTTACTTAAAACAAAAACACAAAAATACCCCAAAATATTATTAATGTTGTTGGCAAAGGCCACAAGTGAAGAAAAATTTCCTTCTTTTGTTTATTATGAAGTGATAGATAGAGACTCAAGAAAGGTACTGGGGAATAAAAATTATATAAAAACAGATGCTCTAGCTTGTTTAGGAAGTGATTATCTGCTGGTAACTTTGCCACACAGTGTTAAGAGGTGACATTTATCTTGTTAAAGCAAAGGCCTTCTCAGGGCTTATTTTTAAATAATTTAACAACTTTGTTATCAAGAAAGTTTTCAGACATATTGATATTCCAGAAAAAAATATATCCATTACTATCTTTCACAGACTTTTTTTCTAGAATACAGTTTGGTGCTGTGCAGTYACTTGTGATGTTTTTAAAAACAGAAATTCAAATTTAAAATATTTATTAACTAGAAACATGAAATTAGAGACATCTAAGGATTTTTATGGAAGTGGTTTTCCTCGCTATGAACAATGTTTTTCAGTGATCAGCCTGAAGGCCTTGGACATGTTGGCTCTGCTGCCCCTCTGGGTGACAGAGCAAAATTTCTTGCGTGGTCTGCAGCCTTCTGATCTAGGGGATGGGAAAGCATTTTGAGAAAAATCACTTGGATGTAGATGTTCTTTGTGTAACTTTTGAGGTATTATTTTCTTATATTTAATTCTTATTCTTGTTTTCCTATTACTTTTAATACTCTTCCTTGTGAGGGAAGCAGAGGAGGCCCTGACAGGGGAATGGAGAAGGATTTCAATGTTGTGCACTTGGCAACTTCATAGACATTTTTTTAAAAATGCTGTAAGATTTTGTAGAAAATACTGGAATATATGTATGTTTCATTGAAACAAAAAATATTTACCATCTCGGGTACTTCTTATAAACAGAAATTCTAGGAATTATGCAAACCTACACTAGTGAGGACTAGTGAGCCATTATGTCAGTTATTACTTGGTTGATTTGCRTACATGTCAGTCTGTATGAACAAATGCAGGGTTCTCTAATGCAGGTAATGGTTTGGGCATATGCAAATATATGCACTTGGAGCTTTGACAGGCAACAGCAAATTCCAGTGTGATCTTCTGTGAGATTATAGAAAGCTCTGCCAAATGTACTTTCAAGATAATTTTTCTAAGCAAAGTTGAAATCTAAAAATTTCCTAAGAAAGCTTCAACTCCCGTGGTTTCCTGCCAATTTTGCAAAGGCAAGAGCAGGGATGAGATAAATACACTTTTGATAAAAAGTCAGATGAAAAAAATGATTTTTAATTTTCCTCTACCTATGTCATAGATTTTAAACCCTGCTAAATCACAGAGGAAGGCAATGGCAGAGGTTTTCTTCAGCTTTAATTTTCTTTCTGTCRATGTTTTACTCATGGTGCCATACATTTCTGAGGTAGGAAGTGCTTTTTCACCATGTCAATATATCAAAAGTCTTCAGATAYTGATATAGGAAGATGTCTATCTGAAAGAAAAGTTTTGTGTATAAGAACTCCAAAATCTGTACTGATACTTGCTTTAAGAGGCAYAAGGCTTGATAACAAGCAACATCCAATGGTTTAGAATGTACCAGCCAGCTTAACATGTATTTCATCTGCCCTGGATTTTAAGAAATGTTTATAGAAACCTTATTTGGTTACATTACTTTTTATTGTCATCAGTAGATAATGTCAGTCAGATGGCGCTGAATCTGGAGAAGGCATTACTTTGACTAAGGCTTCACTGAAATTAAATTTGGAATTTGAATCAATGCCCAGGAATGATCTCAGATATAACAGATTAAATTTGCTAAGATCTCTTCATTTTAAATGTGTTTTTAAAACAAAGCAGATAATTCTTCCAGTCTTTGGCCTTTTAATGCTTTCAGCCTTTGTTTGGGCTGAATGAAGCATTATACTTTGGGTTACTGAACAGTAATTTTTAAATCAATTCTGGATTATATTTGCATACAAATATGTGGATTTAATAGATGCACAAGTTTCAACAATAATTTATAAGTAGTAAAAAATCCTGTGTCTTTTGTGTGCTATCATAATTTTTCTTTTATATTTTGGAGGAATATGAAAAAAGGAAAGGCAGAGAATAATTATGGATGTGCAGTATTGTCCACAGTGCATCCTCAGAAATCAAACACAGGAAAGGGTTCTTCAAATACTGGACTGTGAAAGCAGGATGCAACATGTAGAAAAATAACTAAATAATTCAGTTTTCTGTCTCTGATAGTAACAGATACACCTGACCAGGATTTTGTATTCTAACAAGATAATTTGGTTTTTGTTCCATCTGGTGATGCACTTATGGGCTGAAGACTGAAAATTACTAGCCTTTTCATTTTTATCCTATGTTACATTGATAGCAGTTGCCATTATTTATCCMATCTGTTAAAAGTCTTAATAACATAATTAAATCAATTACATCCTGCAGTAAAGAATTCTGCAGGTAAACTATTTAGTCTATACCCTGCTACCGGAGAGAATATAAAGTGTGTAAATTTCAGTACTTCTTTAAAAGAACTTTTAATTATTGGAAATGCCAAGTCCTAATGTTGAGCAGTGCAAAGCATARCTTTGCTAGTACAGTTTCATCCACGTTGGCAGGATTTTGCCTTGTATTAGAATCATGGAATGCTAGTTTGGCTTGGGAAAGGCCTCTGGAGCTCCTCTYGTGCAGCCCCTTGCTCAGTTAGTTCCAGGAGTCCAGTCAAATATTGAACGACTTGAGGAACTGGAGGAGTTTGGCTTTTTGAGTCTGAAACTGGACCCCAAAGCCCAGATGTGGTCTTGCAGTCAGGGGCAAGGAGGAAGGGTGACTTTCCTGGACCTGCTCATTTGGCCTCTTACTCTCTACAGTGAGTGGTCGTTCCTCTGGTGGAAGGACTTGGGAGGTTTGAGGACAAGCCTTACTAGTGAAAACTGCAATGTTCTCTCTTCCTTTAAATGCATCCACATCCTCACCTCTCTGGGTAGTTTTGTGTCACTAGTGCCTGTAAATATCTCAATACCGAGATTGCCCTTGGCTGAGGTCAGTCAGAGAAGCCTGATGGAATAGGTTTTGTCATTCCTGCAGAAAGAAGGTTGGCTGGATTGCACTTGCAGAATCTTCATCTCTATTATTTCTGAAGGACACTAATCCATGAGGATGATGATGAATAATGCCAGAAATAAAGAAGTACAAAGGTCACCTTTATCTTACTGTTGTATTTTTCTTTCTGGGATTTGGTAAATGCAAAGGTCTTTG